GGGGGGGTGTCATGAGGAGACTGATGGACAGACAGACAGACCGTTATCGACTGACCAAAACACCTTGTGGATGGTTGGTGGGTGCTCTGGGGGTGTTTAATACTTATTTGCTATCCAACATCTTTACCCCGCCTCCTTCTCTTCTCTGTATATTACTCTTAAATAACACCTCTAATACATGAAGACAACAGAGGAAAAACGACTGTAGTCACAAACTGAATATCGTGAGGGTACCAAATTTGAACGCTTGTTGACCCATAACTGTATTTCTGTTCAACTGTTGGTTGATTATTGTTGTTAGATTTCCCATTCAACAACACTTAACAATAAACCACCAGTCAAACAAATATGAAGTTATGAGTCAACAAAATTGGCACCCTCAAAATGTCCAGTTTGTGACTACAGTCGTTATTCCCCTGTGCTCTTCATATGTATTAGGCACTTATATGACCTATTTGTGTTACAAAAGCCGTAAAACTTCTATTTATTCTAAAACTAAAACAAAACTCGTTGTGTTTCTGTCCACAGACAGTTCATCAAGATCCGTATCGTGGACGACGAGGAGTACGAGAAGACGGAGACGTTCTCCCTGGTGTTGGATGAACCCACTCTCGTCAAGAAAGGATCAGGTATTGTAGATTTATTACTCACCATCTTAGCCAGTCTTGTTCATCGCCCGTGTTTTGTCTCTTCCCGTGTACGTTTATGTACACACATGGTCGGGATCTGTTCAGAATTATATAAAAAAGGATCAGGTAATGCAGATTTACTCATCATCTTAGCAGGTCTTTTTCATTGTCCATGTTTCGTCTCACCTTCTACATGAACACACATGATCGGGATCTGTACAGAATAATACAGGAAAAAAAATCAGGTTGCTATCTTGTCTTGTTTTGTCCACTTTTTATCCTGTACAGTGTCTGTGTTATCGTGTCCTCTTGTACATGTACATACACTATTAGGATTTGCAACATAAATACGGAAGAAAGAATCAGGTGTTTACTCCAGTCTTGTCCACATCTCAAGGGACATTGTCCATGTCTTTGTCTCATCTTGTTGTGCACATGTGCACAAATTAAATGATCGGGGTTTGGACACATACTGTACTAGACAATACACTGTACTTGTTTTCGTTTGGTCTTGAACACACACGCAGATTATCGGGGTCTGTACAAATTATACGCCACATTGTCCGTCTTTTTGTCTTATCATGTATATTATGTCAACACAAGATCAGAGTTTGTACATATTTGTGACGTATCATTACACCCCACATGCCATTCAGCCTTATACATTCAGAGAGAAAACAGGATGTATCTTTGTGGGGTTTATGCTTGTGTATCTATGTGTGTGTACCATTCTTGGGGATTTCTTTGTGGGCGTGCCTATTTTGATTGCCTGTCTGAAGGTTGTTTTGTTTGCTTGTGTGTGTGTGTACCTAACTTCAAAGAAGAAAGAACAAGGAAACGTTTGTGTTCGTCGGTATGGGTACTTTTTGGGCCCTTTGAGTTTCCGTCTGTAGGGTTGTTTGTTGGGGGGGGGG